TACCATGGTTCTGACTTGATTCTTATAGAGGTTTTTCTTAATTTTCCGCTACCGAGACTATTTACACATAATCATGTGGCTGCCTGTTGTTTTGTCTTGCAGTAGCATTTGGCCAGTTAATGTAAAACTATGTACCAGTCAGATTTTGGTGTGTTAGTCTTGTTCCAGTCTTTGTTCTGAAGAACAGCATCGTTACAAAATAAAAGAGTCCTTCTAAAAAGCTTTTATTTCTTCTGACGTGAAACTTCAAGATGAAACGAGTCAGCCCGTCTTTAATGGGATTCCATTGAAATGTCTGCTTACATGCAACTCATGTTGTCATTCTTTGGCATGATCGTTACTTGAGGGGCAGATTAGAGGTCAATCAGCCAGAGCCACGGGGGCGCCAACAGCTAGCCTCAGGATACTCCCTACAAATGTAAGATCAGAAGGGCAGGCACATGAAAATTACTGTTTACTTTTTATGAATTATTTCCCAGAGATGGGATCATTAGCAGAATCTAAATGCTGGCTGGCTTTTAGTGCAAGGACACTCCTGACAGAATGCACTCTCTTGGGTACACCTTTGCACTCTTTTAAAGTCAAAAGATTCTCTGTTTTTGCTGTTGTGGGATTTCTGTATTATTTAAGTAACTTTCTGGTTGTTTTTCCCCAAAAGACTGTCCCAACTTCTAAACTTGCTTCTAATTCTTACATGTCATCCATTTTTTTTCTTTGTGCAGCAGAGCATTTCAAAGCCTATGTCCATACCCCAGGGACTCTACAGTAGACACCTTCTGACAAAAGTAAAACTTCCTGGTAATTTTCTGAGTGAACAGTGGCTGTTACTTAAAATTAATCGCCGGCCAATGAGCACCACAGTTATCCCTACTGTAAATACAGGGGAAAGGTGATATTGGCTGTCACGGTGAGGTACATGTTGGCAAATGCTGATTCAATGTCTACTCCTGTGGTAATCTTCACACATCAAACTCTACACGTTCTTATCCGCATAAGCATCTGGCTTCTGTTTGATCACAGTAATCAAGGCTATTTAGAAGGGTCACGGTATATTTGCCCTTTTGTCTTGTGTCTGGAGCTATGAAAGCATGACTTTGGAGCAAATGTTGATTGAATTCTAAAGAGACTGGCAGTAGTCATGAACATGTGTAGCCCCTGATATGCTAAACTTGTGATTCCAAGTAGAAAACTGTTTGCTTTTTAAAATAACTTGAAGGACCAAATACATGGTGGATATTACTCTTTAATGAAAACCAATAAGAACTTCCTTCTTATCATCCAACATGTTACTACCCTTAATGTGAAATAATCAAATGCTGCCCAGCGTAGGAATGAAACTAAATCTGGCTGGTAACCAAAATAAAATCCCTTACAGCTATTTTTGTATGTTCTTAAAATGTGTTCTGTGAGATTAGGCAATTGTCTTTTTTTTCCCCTTCTCTGCTATTTTTCTTGAAAAGTTTTTTAAAAAAATGCTCTCCTGCAGCCTTCTCCTATGATAAGGTTGTGGGGCAGAAAATCCAATGTTATGTTCTTTTATCTAAATCCTTATTCTTCCTAATCTGGCTAGACTTTTTTGATAGGTGTGTTTTTACTTATTTGGCATGATGTTTTCTCAACATCATTGGGGTTTTGGCATTCATCTTGACAGCAGTAGCTAGCGAACTCCTTGCTAGCGTTTAAAAGGATAAACTGAGCATCTCCCTTTCCATCTTTTCCTCTTGCTGTTGGACAGAGCTCAGGAAACTTTAATCTTTGCAGAGCAGTGAGAGACCAAAGGGAACATGTGTGTGGATGAGTGGGGTTGCTGGGTCCTCCAAGAGAAGTCTGCATGCGACCATCTGTGGGAGCAGGTCAGGGGTTTATTACAGCAGCATTTAGAAAGTTGAGGTACAAACACTATAAAAGTAAGTCAGTCGGTGCTAGACACAGTTTAGGCTTGTACTGAGCTGCACCCAATCTCAGAAGTTTTGTACCATATGCCTTAGACTTCTTAGGCTAGACCAGTGCTAGATAAGGGGTCTGTATGCCTCCCTTCAGTCATGAAGCCATGCTCACAGGTTCTTGAGATGTTGGAGGGCAACTGATTCGGAGCCAGGATGTGGCATGCTTGCTGTGTGTTTCTTGCAGACTTCACACTGAGACAAAATCAGATATCTAATTGTGCTGTTACTATCTAATTGTGCAACAGCAGATACCTTTGCTGTTGATATCTTCTTGTTCTTCTTGTAGTCATCATAGAAAACAATGGTTTTAAGATGTCTTTTATTGCATTTGCACTTCGGAGGCTGTTACACTCCCTCTCTTTTTTTTTTTTTTTTTTTAAATAACGTGCCGCAAAGGTCCTTTCCTCTGAAGTGGTACATCTTGAAGCCAAACCCGAACCCAGATGGGTTTCCAGAGCACTGGTCTCCCCAGTGCTGTTAGGATAGAATAATGGTGGATGTCCCTTCTCCACCCAATTGCTCAGGAGTGCATGGTACACCTGTCAACTGATAGCTGTTAAATTAACTTTTCCATTTCCCTTTGTGTAGCCTTATCTTTACAGACAGGTGTATATGTGTTGGGAGAGGGGCTATTTTTGGCTATACTGTAGGAAAGCCTGAAGGTAATGAGTTGTGCATAGGAAATCTTGCTTACTCCATAATTTCCACTACATTTCAAATTAAGGGCCTAAATTAGGGTTAGTGTCAGACTTGCTCTTTTGCTATGTCCTAATTTTGTTCTAAAAGCACATAGCTAAGGACTTTAATATGTTTTAGATTCAGTACTTGTAAGTTATACTAAAATCCCTAACGGAGCCAAAATAACTTATTAAAACCTTGCAAATGTTTTTGACTGCTGCATTGTATTATTTTCTATTCCAGTGGTAGCGTACAGCTTCTGCTGCTGATGGGCGGAGGAACACAAACCTCCAGGGCCCATTAGACTTAACTTGTTTACTGCATTGATATCTATATGTTAAATGACAAGAGAGTTCAGGTTATTGAATAATTTAAAATTCAGCTCTAATTGGTGTCATATGACCTGGAAAAGGCCATGGATGACGCCAGGAGCATGCTGTGAAATTCTTATAAATAATTCATAAATTAGATCATTCATTTGCCTGGATGTCTTGTTAAATGCAGAAGTTTGTAAGTAATAACTGATGATATAACACCTGTAAGTATTTAGTTCATATGCTGGAAGGTAATCTACCTTGATGATCTTCTAGCAAAACCTGCCAGAGTACGAGAGTTAATTGCACTAGGGAGAATGCACTACATTTATTTGGGATGGGCTTTGGCAAGGTGTACCGTGCAGATGTTGCATTACGCATTCTCTATCAGCTAGACAACTATTCTGTGTATGCCCATGTTAAAAATGCAGCTCATCACTCTTCTGCCCTTATTTCACATGAACTCCAAATGCACTGGGAAATGGTAGTGACCTGCTCTGCTCACAAATAGTATAGTTTTTGAAATATTTATCTAGGTCTTGAACTACTGATTCTTCAGTAAAATAAAGGGCAGAAGTAAAAAATTGAAGTCAGAAGATTGTGATTTTTTTGTTTTTATAATGTTGGCAGCACGTTGAATGTTAATAGTTAGACCTGGTGCTGTCAAGATTAGTATAGTGGCATTTTTCTGTAGTGCAAACAGGAATGATATAGTTTTGTTTCAGAAAGCAAACATGTTTGCTTAATTTTAGTGGTCAGGTATTGCATTGCCATATGCAGGTACTGTTTGGGTTTAATGGGCATTCTGCTTGCAGTGACTTCCAAGACTCAACGTACAGGTGCCTCGCTTTAGTTTTCTTGGAGCACTGTATTATTAATGACTGCCTTATCAGCCACAGTGAAGCCAGTTTGCTGATCTGGAATGGAAGCATTTGTTAGAGATTATCTACACTATTTGCGTAGCTGGAGAAGAAGGGTGGCATGTTTATGAATGCAAAATATACACTTAAAGCCGAGTGCCAGCAAATGCTCACATGCCACTTTGAATGCAGGTTTATTGTGCACCTGGCATCCCAGCTCAAACCCTCAAAACAAAGAGGAGAAAAAAAAATTGAAGGCAACACAAACATAGGAGGTGTTCCTCTGCTGTCAGCTAGCAGCTATAGATTCACTTTTTTGTGATGAGATCCTATTTTATTATTATTTTTTTTTTTGCTACACCTGTTCAGTATATTGACTTCAATTGATTTTTACAGGAAAAATACAGGCTTGTGACTGTCATTCATATAGTTTCTTTGATTTGAGACCACTTGTTTTATTCAGCGGAATATGGCAATCATGTCTGTACATAATTACTACAGAAAATGGTGCTTTTTTTCTTGCTTGAAAAATGGTCAGTTTATGTTCCGAGTCATCTACGGTATTTATCTTAGGTACAGAGACAGTTGCTGAACTATTATGTGGGCGCTTTCTAATGACTGATATTAGGTTACTTATGGTAGAGATTTTAATAAAGGATTATATGATTTAAAGAAAAAAAATTGATAGACTTCAGTAGATCCTACTAATTTACTTTAAAATCTTTACCCTTTTACATTCTCCTTGATAATTTCTTACCAGCTCTTGGAAAGAATAGCTCCTTAATCACTAGTAATGCACTTCAAATAGTCCTATCATCTGAAATAATTGTTCTTAAAATGGCATTTCTGTTGCCCTGATATCCTACCTGAGCTTATTTATAATATATTCTCCTCATTCTACTGACAAGAGCAAGTGCTTATACTGTCAATAGACATGGAAACCCAAAGCCAAGCTTTATTCATATGGGACCCATACATCAACAGTGCATGGTCTGACTGAGTCCCAGGTTTGGGATGTATGCCATAGTGAATGCATCAGCTAGGTCACTGATACGTGCCCTTGGTGCTCTTTAGGGTGTCCCTGTATATGGTAGCCTCTCATTTGTCCATTTAGAAATATTTGCTTCATCTTTAAAAATCTTTAAATCTCTGTATTTCTCCTCTGGTTGCTGCCTCTGTTCATTCTTCTTATCTTCCTCCAGGGTCCACGCTCAGATCAGCGTAATGGACTAATTCTGAACCTGCATGTTCCTCCCTCTGTTTCTACCCCACCAAAAGAAACCCCAGAGCTGAATATCCAGGTTAGAGAAATGTTCTCAAGACACAATGGAGAACAATTTTAGTTCATTGTCTCTTTTTCTGTATTCAAATATAGTTCGGCTGCAGACTACAAACCCAGGTGCTATGGGTTAAACTCTGACCCTGTTGACATCTATAGGAATTTTGCTGTTCACTGTAACAGCACTGTATTTTGCTAGGACCCTAGCTTTTGTCCTCAGAGTGCAAGACTTCTCAAGGTAATGATTTTGGGCTGTTTCTTAAACATGTGTCGTACATGCAGAACTGCCAGTGAAGTCTGTCAGGACCTTGCCTGTGTTGAGATTGTAAGATCTGATCAGTTGCTCGTTCATCCCTTGCAGTACAGAGCCCTGTGTGGTGGAGTCAGTCTGTAAATGTGTCTCCTCTGCCAATGCTGTGAATTAACACTGCAGAGCACACAAGTTGCATTTAAGAAGAATTTGCAGAGATCGTAATGCTGCGTGCATAAAACTGGTGCGCTGTTTGTCTGTTTGTAGGAAGTTTTAAGGACTGGATGTTTGTTTAAGCTCTGCTCTGAATCCCTGAGCAAAAATTACTGGGATTGCAAGTAAAGATTTCGTAGAGCTCCCCACATCTTCATCTTTAAACCCTTCTAAAAAATATTTGAACTATTTTTTAATGTCTCCTTGCTTCCATGCAAGAGTTTCACATCTGATCAAGTCTTATTAACTCCATATGTTGCAAGGAGCAGTCTGAGTTTGTTTGTTTGTTTAAGCCTCAGTTAAAGGAAGTTGTATCTTTAAATACCGTATAGCAAGCCTGGAAGAGCTCCACAGAGGGAAAAGCACAGCTGTTCCATCATGGTCTGTCATGGTTTCCATGTGTCCCGTAGGCAATATCTTTCTAAAACTCATCTTGTAAAATTACCCAATTCCTTATGCTTGTGCATCTTCAGACTCACGGTAGTAGGTTGGTCTTTGGATTTTATTTTTTTTTCTTTTCACCTCACCTGCATCTTACAGATCTGTCATGGTATGCTCTGGTCTCATCTGATCCCTCATAAGTGTAAACGTCGGTCTGTTTTCCCTGCAGCCTCTACCATCCAGCTGTAGTTTTCCAATTAAAGCATTAACAGAAAAGCACAAATTGCTAAAAAAGTTGTTGACTAGCTTCTTACTCCCAATAGTTAATTTTTCTTTGGGCTTAGATCCTGCAAAGTAGGGAGTAGCTGTCAAAGGTGTGTTGGAACTCAGTCTTCTGCTTAACGTGACCTCCTTCTTCTAAAGGAATAAAAAAACCCCACTCACATTCTATGACATTAATGAGAATTTTCCCCCCTGCAAACATATTGTAACTGTGAAATAACATTAAAGTTTCTCTGCCTTGTTATGAAGTCTTTAAATGTCAATGCCATTTCTGAGACCATCAGGGCAGATTTAATGGCGGCCAAGGTCAACAAATGCTAACTGGTACCTCTCTTTTAGGGCCTTCAGGGACTCCTAATAGAGGCTCAGCCATGAAGTTAATTTCTGATGTGGGCCTTTATTCTTAAACCTGCTCCTGATGATTATTTTGTGCCATCTTCATTCGTGTGATTAGATTTCTTAACATTCTCTTGTCTCTTCAGTCAATAAAACAAACGGCTAAAATAAATTCTCAGTTACTTAAATCTTTTGAGTCTTCTTTTTTTGTTTCTTTTTACTTCTGTTTATGGGCTGCAGAAGGGCAGGTGCATGCTTTCTGTAGATCACCCTAAGCTGCCAGCTCTGATAGGATCCTCTAAGAATACCTTCAGGTCTGCCACTTCTGCTGTCCTAGGGGGCCGGGAAACCGGCTGCCTTGAAAGCCTCTTTCTGTTGGTACCCTCAGTGCTATGCTGGCAGAAGCAGGTGAGGTGGGAAGCGAGAGACAGAATGTAACCACAGGATTCTCTTACTTTCCCTTTTCTGTAATATTTCTTCCTGTTGCTGGTCATCCCTTTATGTATTGTCTAACTTAGATTAAAAGGGATTTGTAGCCTTTATTTGTCTAGAAAATATTGCAGACAAGGATGGCACGGTACAAATAATAAATAACAAAACTCTGTCTTTTTGGCAGCATGTTGCATTTCTGCTCAGTTGCCCTGCCAGCCCCTCTGACTTTAAAATATTTTAGTGTCCTGCACTTTTCACCCAGTCCAAGCCCCAGACTTGCCTCAGACATTTAGCACTGACATTAATGCAAATGCCTCCAACTCACTGGGCCCTTTGGGGCAAAACATGACATCCTTGGCTTTCAATCACATGGCAGAGAGGATATATTTGTATCCACAAAACTGGAAATAATAAAATATCAGTATTCAGGTGCTAATCCATGTTAATTTACATTCTGTGAAGTCTACAAGAAACTCGTAATTGGTTGTCTTGAAGGGCAGCAGAATATATTTGGTATTTTGTTTATTTATAAAAAAGAATTTAAATTATACATATAAACACTGCATAGATTTGGATTATTTCTATCTTCTAATCATTGCTGGACGCTTGCTTGCATTCCTAAGTTCTAGTGATTTGGGGCTTGCTGACTGTCTTCCTCTCTATGTGGACAATACCTATCTATTGTAAGCATTGCCAGAGTGCAAATAGTATTTTTCTTGCCATCGGTGGATACCAAATTTCCCTGCTAAATCACTTTCACTGCAGTGGTTTTGTTATCTTTAACAAAGCTGGCTTCTGTAGTTAAAAAAATTAGATCTTTGTGAAAGGTCCCAAAGGCTGGAGGAGTTTAAATTCAGTATGTTACTGAAATTAATGTACAGGTCTAGCAAAAGAAATGTGAGTGCCTGATTCACTGCTGTTCTGACATGCATAAAAACTCAAATGCTTTACTGCCTCGATGAACTGTAGTGCAAAGATACTCTGGGATGTAAGTAGGATTTTGGTGCCTGTTACATAATATGCACAAGTATAACAAACCCACTAAAATTTGCTTGCACTGGCTTGACAAACGTGAATTACAGTTGCTTTCTTTCTTCAGAGTTTTATCAGACTATAATCACTTGCCCAGCTTAATTGAAAAATCACTTACGTTTATTGCTGAATTTAAACATGTTTTGTATTTAAATGACAGCTTTTGATGTACAACCATTTTTTACAGAAAGTAGTTGGTTTTTATCTGTGTTTCTGTAAAGATATTTCAAAAACTCTCATCAAATTTCCAGCGGTAAGTAATATCCCATTCAGTGCAAGGTGAAATGTTTTACATCAAATCTCCTGCTGTGTAATGGCCAATCAAAGAGTATTTATAGTGGCTGAATGGATTTTTTTGGCTCAGTATTCAAAATTAAACATTTTCAAACATTAACATTTAATGTTTTTTGCCACTCTTCAAGTTGATTTTATGTAACCCTAGATGCTCACAACTACTTGATACTCTGAAGCGACTCATTTTATGCTGAGGATCCTGCAGGCGGTAGTTTTACATTTATTACACTTGTGTAGATGGAATGAAATGTAGATTTGATAGCACGTTCATGTCTGTGTTCTGATAAACATTTTCTTCGGCTTGGCTGTATGTCCATCAGCATGATGGAGCAAGTCTATTTCTGAGAGAACACATTTACCAAGTGAAATTAATGAGCAAAGATAAGTTTTGGTAATTCATAGGAAATTGTTTTTCTCATTGCAGGTATCCAGTAAGAAGAGCTCATGCCGACAACCTTCTTTGGAGCTAGATGGTTCCTACTTGGGTATTGGGGGACCTCAAACTTCTTATAAGAACAGTAGAGCATCAAAGGCTGGAAGCCCAGCCCGTGTTGCATTGCCTCAGCCTTGCAGGAATAATCATGATTATGGGACTGAAATCCATTACAACCATCAGGAGTGTCTGAAGGAATATCTCATAGAAAATGGCTTGCACAGAAAGTGTAACAATATGATTTCCCCAGCCAAGCAGAGGAGCCCTCACTGTGTAAAACCAGCTCAGGAGATGGACCAGAAAGCAAATGAATTTCAGAGCACATGCCCTCAGCAAGTGAGTCACGGTTGTGCCTGTGGGCATGTAGAGAGTTCAGGGAGCATGCAAGAGAGCTGCCACGTCAGCCAGCTACCTAGAAGACACTCTGGGCTGGTTCACAAAACCTGCGATTATTCTAGGTGCTCTCAAGTTTCTGGGCTGAATGACAGTGTGGACCCAAGGGCTAAAGAAACAGAGCAGGCTAAAAAGTTGTATGAAGAGAGAAGGCAGAAGCTGCTTCTGCAGAAAATGGAGCTGGAAATTGAAAAGGAACGACTCCAAAATTTGTTGGCTAAGCAAGAAGCAAAACTGCTCCTAAAACAACAGCAACTACACCAATCCCGTATGGATTATAACAGGTGATTTTGAGACTTACAGCTTTAAAAAAATTTCTAAACTTTCTAATGAAGACATTGGCAATAGTTAAAGTGGGAGAATGGAACTGATAAATCTTATATATACAATACATATGTATACATATGCAGTACCTGTGGCACAAATTCTAACAGTGATTTAGAGGAGAGGAGACTTTTTAGTATATTAGCATATACTGTTGGGAAACAGCATGACAGCTGTGAAAAACAGCAGTGGAAAACAGTATGTGGTAGAAAGAAGGGAACAAGAAAAGCAGTGCTAAAAGACTAGGTAGGAAAAGAGGACCAGTAGAAGAAAATGAGAAGTTGATCATAGTGCAGGCACTTCAAGGAATACAGGCATTTGGCAAAAGAGCAGCATGAGCATGGATGAGATAGATGTGGCGTCCCCCTTCTTTCCTTGGGGAGGCCAGTTTTGAAATACTGCACCTTTCTAGGTAGGGACTGGAAGAAGTGTGTTTTACAGAAAAGATGGAGGTCATTTTATGTATATATATGGAATATATGGGTTTTTTCCATATACATGTATGGAAAATAAAGGGAGCCCTGTGTAGGAAGGACTTTTTCTTTCCAGTGATGTTTGTGGAAGGGAGAATGCCAAGACTGAGGCAGAAGACTTGCTTAAGAACTAGAAGAAGGGAAAGGCAATGGCTATAGAAATTCAGAATGTGGCCTGAAAGGCCCGTGAGCTTGTTGCAAAAGGTGAGATAACATCTTCCTGACAATGTAAATGGGGACTCTGGAAATGAGGCAGAAACTGGTTTATTGGTATCATGTTACTAGAGTGGAGAGCAGCAGTGAAAAGGAGCGGGTTAAAGCAAATTGAAGTAGCCAGTGTAACTCAGTTGAGTACTAACATTTCAGCATTAGGAAGGGAAACCAATGGGAAAAAATCTAGCAGTCTTTTAGAAGAAGCAATAGGAGAGTTTCACAAGGATGCTTATTTCGATACTGCTTTAATGTGGCATCTGCTGACAGCATCCTGTGAGAGTCTGCATTACATGACCCACTTTGTACATTTATGTATTATAACCACCATGGTGGATTATATTGCTTTCTCTTCTTTATCCCGGCCCCCTGGTTACTTTTCAAACTCTAAAAGAGAACACTAACTCAGGTGCTCTTTTGTTTATTGTCTTGGATTGTGGCTTACATTGAAAATAATGTGTTTATGTGGCTTTAAAAATGCCTGTCTTAAAGGCAGTCACAATTGTGTGTGTTGAAAATGACTGAGGTCACAAACAAAGGATTATGACTTCAGGTGAGAATTAAGTAGGAACAGATGGATTCTTAATCATCAGATACCTTAATTCTATGCATGCATCCCTCTAATGAAAAACAAGTAGAATATGAAGGACATACAGGCTGAATTTTTTGGTGGTTTTGTTTCTAATGGATATTTTTCAGTATTTGAGGCATCATAAGCCCAGAAAAGAATGGACCTTATATATATCTATAATGATGTGCTTGTTAATGCCATTATGCCTATTTTAGCCATTTTTTTCCTGAAAAAAACTTCATGATTTACAGAGCTCTGTTTACCTAAAAGAATTCTATGAAAGAAAATCACATATGATCAATCTGAGGAGTCAGTATTTTTGTGATCCCTTTTCAGAGGTGCAGGTGAAAGCACATTTGCTATATTTTCTCTAAGAAAAGCAACTGGAGTATAGTGTGCTTGCTCTTAAAAAATACTCAGTCTCTTTAGAATTAGATGTTTGATATTTACAGATAAATCTCTTAGGCATCACAGTTCTGTTTCAGTTCTAGGTGTATAATTCACTTTTGCACTTGATAACAGGGTAATTTTATATACTACAAACAATAAAAATTTGTTTAGCTAAGCTGAAACACCCTTCGCTTCATTGTCAGGAGGCTCTAACCTAGTTCATCTCTTAACATCATGACGGTTTAAAAAACCAGTGCAACAGAAATGCATTTCCAGATGGTGTTTATTTTTGTCTGTCCTTCTGCATGGGTGGAGTGCTGGTTAAGGTCCATTCTGAGCTGCTGAAATTATTGTTGTTGAATGGCAAGTAAAAGGTCTGACCATTTGTAATTATTGGCTATTAACTCCTCTGCTCTTTTAGCAAAAGTTTGAATCGATCTTTTTTTTTGGCCATGCCGTATCATAACTGCATTTTAATATCCCACATTTCCCTATTTAGCCTCAAGTGAGCATAGTACTTTCAGTTTGTAGTTTCTCTCTATGTCTAATAGTTGCTCAGCTATCAAAAATGGTGTTTGTGCAGGGAAAAGGGCAGTTCCATGACTCCTCCTGATGCCACCCACACCAGAGTAAACAAATAAGGGTAAATCCTGGGACTAGGAATTTAATTTGAATGAAAAGGGAGAGGTACCTCTATTGTTGACTTCTCTTTCTTCATTGGAGAGAAAGAAAAAGGTGGGCTAAACTATCAAAAATGCAGCAGCATCTGTGGGCTCATCATTTCAGGATACATGGGCATCTCAGGCGTATTCTACATTTTTATGCAGTTTACACACAATGCCTTTGAACTCTGATGCTGCTGGAGCTGTAATCTGAGCCCAACAGGGATGTTTGTTATTGGATACTGTGACCATTTTCTTAAGGGAGCAAGTCCTTGAAAATCAGTAAATTAAATTTTTCTGATCTTTTTCCCAATGGAAACCCGTAGAAGCAAAGGCTCTGGACGTAAGTCAGCCTTCCAATATGGAAGTGTGTCTGAAAGTGTGAAAACAGTTGTGAAAGCTTCTGCATTTAATGTGATTAAGTGCCCTGTTTGTAGACACACAGCTCACCTTTTTGTGGAGAGTTCCTGGTGTGATGATTTGACCAGCTGCAAAACCAGCTAACTCTGCTTTTTCAGGTTTAGAGGCCACGTACCAGGTTCGGAAGATATGCCCATTGATGAAGCGCCTGGAGAACTTGCTCGGATGATGAACGGCAACAGCATGGGGCTAAGGTAATTTCTCTCTTCACTTCTAAGTACTTCACAGTGTAGGTATATCTTCTTGACAGTGTGCTGTTGGCTGCCAAGTGTATTTGTTCATGTGTTTGTTTCAGATTAAGAGCTTTTTTTCTCCAGGAAAGGTAAAATTCATTGGCTCTTGTGTTTTATGAGTCAAATCAATAGTTATGCTGATCTGTTATTACTCAAGGTTTAGGGGTTGACTTCCTGTAGAGGTCGCAGGTTTTGTGTCTCATCTTTTAAGGACACTAACCAAGCCCAATGCAAAATGGAGTTTTCACAAAGTCTTTTGTTCTTTGTTCTAGGTACTGTTTGTTATTTTTTTTCAGTTAAGATCAGAACATCTCCTTAGTCTTGATTTGGATCTGATGTAAAAAATGCATTATCCTATAACTCCCAGATAGAAATGATCTTTTACAATTGGTGGCATTGTTTTTTAAACAATGTTGTGTTGCACCTCTGCTTCAGTCTGATCAGAGTAAACTATCACTGAAATAACTGGAAGTAGAGTTAAGCCAATATTTAGCTCTTTATCTCAATCTTGCATGCTATTTAAAACTTTAATCAATACATTATTGTGTTTTCTTTCTGTCCCACCCTGTCACATTTCCTGTTACCACTGGAATAAAATTCTTTTTTAGAAAAGCAACAGAAAATAACTGTGGATTTGACAGGGTTTTTTTCCCTTTCTCATAAAGTAACAGCTTCTTGTTTTATGCTTTAACTATATCTGTTCATTTCACCAATGTATCTCCTGTTGGGTGGACAAAGAGCAGTTGTCCTTTGATTGGCCCCTTCTTTAGTGATAAGAGTTGGCTTGAAAATAATAAGCTTTTCTCTCCATTATGAGAATACCAGAAGAACTGTTAATTTGTTTATAAACTAAGGGTCCAATACAATACTTTTGAAAAAAAAAACAAACCAAAAAAAACCCTCAAGTGATATTGATTTTATTTTTTCACTGAAATGGGGTAAGACTGCTTTCTCCAGAACAACAGGAGTTACTGGTTTTCTTGGAATACTTCATTGCTTAACCAGGTGTTTGGTTGCTGTGAGTTACTGGCATATCCTCACTGTATTCTGATGCTTTTTTGTTTCGTTTTTGGACACACAGACTGAAGTGCTTGAAGTCTGGTCACTGTGACAAAAGAGATAGTGAGTCGTGATATGTTCAAGATGCAATAGCATTAAGCCCCTTGGAGGAAAAATGTAACCTAGAACATCTGTAGGGCATCTTGGCAAGAGTTTATCAAAAACCTGCAAAAATCTGCATAGCCTAACAGGGAAAATGGGGAAAACCTGTGCCATTAACAAAATGAGAGTTCCAGATTTCAAAAGGTTCCCCACCCTCTCTTCATTCCCCTGGTTTAATTTACTATAATTTTTCAAAGTTAATATGTGTTTCTGCAGTCTCAAGTTGCCATGCCAGCTGGTTCCAAAGTTTGGCAGCAAAACACTTGGAAGTTTTTTCTTCCTATATGCCATCTTCAGTTTCACAAAGGTTACCAGATGAATGCTCCCTAAATAATTTACTCTAATGTAAGGCTGAAAGAGGCTACGGAAGACAAGTCCATTTGTCTCTTTTATACATTTGAATATGTAAGTGATGTTTTCTTCGGCATCAAGACAGAGAGTGCAAGTGTGTGGCTAGAGCTTAGAAAGGTTGAAGAGCTGGGAGGAATGCATCTCTTTTTTTTTAACAATCTCTTTTTTGATTCTGAGGGGTTTTTTTAAGGGGTGTGTGCTTTATTTTTATTAATTGTTTTTTAATAGACCTGCCAAATCGTTCTTGTTACAGGAAATGCTATCAGACCCCTGATGGAAAACCAGCCTTCTGACTTCCAGTTCATACATGAGAGCTCCTCTAGCAAACTTGATTTTAGTCTTCAAAAAAGCAAAACTTAGCTTAAAAATATCCTGATATTTTAAAGGAAATGGTGAAAGTCCTTTAAAACACTAAACTTGCTGAAGTGAGGTATTGGAGTTTAGAAGTAAAATAAATAATATAATCAAGAACTGAAAAACATAGGGGTTTTTTTATAATTAACAGCTCATTTTGAGTTAATTATCTACAATTACGAAAATCTAATTGCAATTTATTCTCTACTATCTGTGGGAAGAATCATAGGCAAGGGAATGTGCATCACTGCCAGGCATAAATGCTATAGGATGGGTACAAATAATAGAGGAGCCCTTAATGAAAAACAAAAAGCAAATAGGAGCGTGCAGCTGTGCCAGGCTATTGAAAGGTAATTGTAGTCAGAAATGAGGTATGTACTTTAAAAGGCATCTTGTCATCTCCTGTAGGGATTAATTTTTCCCCTCCTTCAAAAAGGAAAAAAAGATTCCACGAGCACATACAGTACAGAGTTTGATTTCTGATACAGATTTTGGTCATAGTCTGGATGTCTGTGAAAAGGAAAACTTCCATCTTGGGGACGACTGCAAACTACAGCCAAATTTTCTAATGGATGCCTCTTTAATTTTCTCTTCTAAATGTGCCATTATGGTTTTTTCACTATCAAAGTCAGCAAGCGTTGTCCATCTCAGCCTCTTTGGATGGTCCCGGTATGAATTTGCAGTGTCGAATTTGTCACTTCCCTGCTGAGTTTGTTGAGGAGCTGTTGGGAAGAAATATGTCTGTCCCTTTGCCTGGTTGCAGCTGGGCTGGCGTGTGGGACCTGAAGAGTCTTCAAATGCAGGATCTCCAGTTCTCTGAGGTGCAGCCGTCAGAGCAGGTTTTATTGAGGATGGTTTTCAGTAGCTTGGAGTGCTCCTAAGTGAACCCACAGCCAATTTTCAGCTATGAAGGTAGTAACTTGTACAATTAACGGCAAGTTGTCTGGTAGTCTGTATAATTTCTTTTCAAGTCTGCCCCAGTGTGCAAGATGCTTTAAAATATTCAAAATAAAAACATAACCTGATGCATTTATTTAGCATAGAACAGCCTTTTACAAAGCGCTTTCCATCTCCCACGCGCAGATGCTTGGTACATGCTCAAGTACCCACTCCATGCGCATTCAGTAGGATCAATACACCCGGCACCTGCTTTTGTGTGTGCTCCTGACGTCTGCATCTGGGAGAGGAATTTTAAAACAATCCACTCTTCTCTCCTCTATTTAATCTTAATTTTGGAACTGAATCTGATGGAAATAAGACCTATTTAATAGCATCAACTATAGAAGATACAGTTTGCTACTTTGCAAGTACCCCTCCCCAGAGCTCTCCTACATGCCTAAACCTTAACATATGAAGTTCTCTGCTTTTTCAATTCCTAGGTTTCCTATATGCCTCTGCTGGTACAGGTTTCTACTGCTTTCTCTCTAACGTGCACCTTTTCCTCAGACTTTGCACAATCCTGCCACTGCATCTCTACACTGACCTGCACAATATGTTGTAAATGGGAATTGTTGGATACAGCAGCTATCAGATGGTTTACAGTTATCTGCAGGTGCTCTTTCAATGTATGCTACCTGGTTAAAGGATTTCTTTCCCAGAGTATTAAAGATTTGCAGGTGGAATTTGTCACCTTTAATTTCAGTGAAGGCTTCATATGTTTGTGTGCTACATTCTATATCACCCGTGTGTATTTTTTCCAGTTCGTATTTTTAGCTAGTTGAAAATCTCAAACACAGAATTCAGCAGTACTTTTCCCTATTTGAATGCTCATTGCTATGGTGATAGTTCCAGGAGGGAAATGCTGTCAGGGGTCTTTTAAAAGATTTTTATGTTTATGGTGTAACAATTTTTATTATCTTGTGAGAGAAGGTGACAATTATCTCTTGCTCCTTGTTTAATGCTTTGTTATGAACTCGATTTTTTTTGCAGCTTGTTAGACACGCAGGCATCTTTCTATGGTGATGTGCAAGCATACTTCTGTGGTTTTGTCCAAATATTCAACGCAATGAAATAGACGTGCAGAGGAATGCAGACTCGCAGCTCCCTCTGCTGTCCCAGGCATATCCTGGTTTGTTCACACAATCCCCCCCCCCTCCAGCCAAATTAAAGATAAAATAAAAATCACATGCAATCACACAGGTCTGTCCCCTCTGACCTGACTTGTGCTGGCCCCAATTTTGAAGGGAACTGATGTTTAAAAACCAGTGCAATGGTAGCACCATTTTTTTTCCTGTTTGGAGTTTTCTTGTGAGTTGTTCTTCATGCCAGTGTGTGTCACCTCCTTTTACTCTTGTCCTGAGCCTCTGGAAGAGAAACCATCACCAGTGCCACAACTGGCTCGTTGTCCAGGACCTCCCAGGCTTCAGTTCATCTACAAGTTGTCTTTGGTCTCTTGAGGAGCATCTATGTTACTTGGCCAACTTTTAAGAATGTATTGAACCAGTTTGTTGGGATTTTTTTTCATCTATTTGCTGTTGTGGCAGACTGGCACATTGAATCAGCCTGAAATCAACTGTGCTTGCAAATGGCCCATAAAATCTGTGTATCTGGAAGCTGCTTACCCACTTGTTAGTGTTCCTTTTAACACCCAAGTTACTTTCTTGTTGCAGATAATTTTACATTGAATTTCATATCATTTTTAGATAGAATATTTCTGGAGAGAACACTCGTTTGGCCGGTAAAAAAAGTGCTTGTGGATCTGCCAATAGTGCAAATGCTGAATTAGGTTCAGATAGGAGTTGTTCTTTCTCTCATGGCGTTGTCTGGCTATATATAGGCATAGCATCGCTCCAACAGATGGCTGCTGAAGTCCGCTGTGACGTAACGAGAGAGTATAGTTGGAGTTGGATATACAATTTTGCTTCATTAGTGCCACGTGCAGACTCCAAAGGTAGTAAGTTTTCTTGAGCAGGGTGAAGGCTTTTGTTCTGATGTGGCTACTGAAAGCTTGTTGCTGAATGGGAAGTGTATGGCAATTTTTTACATATATCTAGGCATGCTTTTTTTTTTTTTAAGGTAGGCAGTGATCCTTATCAGACTGGGTAGCGAGGATTTCATTTCCGCTGACCTGGTTGCTTCGCTAATCTCATTTTCAG